CGCCATCCGCGCGGCGCAGGAAGCGCTGGACGTCCCGCTCCTCGCGCCTCATGGCCGGGCTGCGCCGAGTCCCGCGGTCGCCACGGCAACCGGCACCACAACGCCCCACCCGGCCACCGTCCGACCCCGCGGCCAATAGCGGCCCAGAAGGGGTGGGGCTCTGAGCGGACGGGGCAGGAAGGGCGGAAGGCGCGGAGGTCACGGGATCAGCCAATGGGAGCGCAGGGCGAGGCTGCGGCCAGCCAATCCGGAGCGGCGCGGGGCGCTTCGGGGCAAGAGGAGTAGAGCGTGGACGCACGTGTGTGGGCGCGCGCACGTGTCTGTGTGGACATCTATATATCTAATATATACAGAGCTATATCGAGATTAGATATCTAGAGCTACATACAGTGGGGCCAACTCAGCAAAAATTTGAATGTTCAGTAATTCAGCAGCTCTGCATACAGTAGATCTAGATCTATTCTATATAGAGATACACATATTCATAGACAGAGTAGTGGTGTTTCATTTAAATGACCCAGTGGGTCCTGCCGGTCTTCCAGGGCATCTCTGTTGGATACTAAAAGAGACCACCTGCTATTTGCTACAACACAGATTGCCCCAATATTTTAGTCTAACCTTCTCCTCTCCCCATGGCCTTCAGCAAGGTGCGACAGGCAGGCAGGTGCCTATTGGTGCAACGCACGCTCTGCTCATGAACCGAGCAGGCATTCAGGGACCCTCCTGGGGCAGAAAGCGCTGCAGAAAAATTTCCAGTGTATTATTATTTCCGAAGCAGAAAGGTTTGTATGGGACTGGAAGTGCACTGATTGCAGGCAAACACCGGATTAGCTGTTCTAGCGTGAAAACGGCATCCAACCGCCTCCTAGAGATCTCGGCCCAGACAAACGTCTGTCTCCGCCAGACGAGCAGCAAAACCACGCGAGCCCCACGCTTCAGTGGGCTTGGAGGCGATGGCTTCATTTGCTTGCATGGAGCAGTAATTGATGCCTAGCACAGGGCAATGATGAGTTTCATCCTGATTTACTACTTTTGTCACAAAGAAAAATAAAGGGTGGGGGGAAATCACTTCCAAAAACTTCTGCTTTGACAGAGAGAGCTCATTATGGTCAAGTGAATTTGGCTGCAGTATGTGAGCAGCAGAGGCGGGGGTGGACTCTGTGCAGAATTTGCACGCCTGGCTTCCCAAACGCTTCCTGTGGGCCTGTATTCTTATCCACACGCTGCAGAGTGATAAATGGGGCCGACTCAGCAAAAATTTAGATTTTCAGTAATTCAACAGCTCCGCATAATACCACCTTCCCTTGTACCCTGGGATTTCTCTCCCCTCCTGCCACGCACTCCATCCATCTAGTGCCCACTACGCTGCGCGCAGCCCAAACAGCTTTCCTTCTGGGCCCCCAGAGCGGTCCCACAGTCCAGGCGGGTGGGACGGTGGGTCATGACATGGTCTGCCGTCCCCAGGAGAGCCGGGATGGTGCAACGGCTGTCTGTGCTGTGGACTGGTTCTCTCTCTCTGCTAACTGGCACCAGTAGGAGGGCCTCCAGCCCAGTTGGCCCAGCCCATCTGGGTGACCATCACCCCTGCTATGAGGTAGCTACGGCCGTCTGCCCTCGGCAGGTGCTTAGAAGACTTCAGCCCCACGCAGAAGGGGAGTCTCCTGGATTGCTTTCGTCCTGGTTTTGTCATGCAACCCCACTGCAGCGAATACAGAGGCCAGATCAAACCTGCATCTGCTCTGCTGTCCCCAGTTGCACCACGTTCCAGTCGCTCACGTCCTGCACCCGCCGGGTCTGCCCCTGCACCTGTCACCATCTCCGACTCCCTGCAGTGCCGATCTTCATCCGACACTGGCGGCATCCCGCCAGGACTCAGAGGAAAGGTCCAGCCTCCTGAGATCAGCATCCTCTCTGCAAGCAGGGTGAGAAGCCTCCTCGGCTGTACAGAAACAGAACATGGCAATGTCCCCTGATGTACCCGGGAATGTGCCCAGACATCAACCACTGCCTGCAGAAACAGCCCTGCCTGAGCTCCCAGGCACTAACTATTCTTCATCCCTTGAATGTGAAAACATGCCATGCTCCCTGCACGCTGCATGCCAGCATCACGCGTGTGGAGGAGAATCAGCCCTCCGGAGAGCTTCATTTGCCGTCAGCAGCAAAATATATGCTGAAATCAGAGCACTGGGCATGGGGTTGGTACCACATGTATTATGGAAAGGAACTGGCCAGCACCAGACCTAGTTTTTCTTTTCTTTTTTTGCAAAAAATATTTATTTCTGTATATATAAATATCTATCTATTGATATCTATCGATATCGATCGATATTGATATCGATCGATATCAATAGATGGATAGGGATAGGGATAAAACTCCATCTCCAACACTCTACCAAGTGGCCCTTGTGGTTCACTTGGCAGCTCAAAGCACACTAAAAACCTGCTCCATAGTTCACACCACATATCCGTGCACCCATCTCCATACCCGTACCCTTACCTGCTGCCCTCCTCAAAAGACCTGCTCCTGAAAAAGTCTATGCAAGACCCCTCTCCACCAGACGAGGTCTGCCATTTCTGTCCTGTCATCCTCTTCTGTCTTCCTCTAGTACCACCAGTCCATTTCACCCAGTCCCATTTTAATGGGGTCTGAGTGCCAGCACCAGACCTGGTGAGAACAAAGCTTTTGTTACGCGTGATCCCAAGGCTCCTGGCCAGAGGGGAGCTGATGTGACCGCCCATCCTGGAAAGACAGGCGACAGCATCCAGCTACAGATGCTTCTCACGGTGCCCCAAAGCTTCCCAAGAACAAAACACCAGCCCTGGAGCTCAGGTTTGGGATGCACAACGCTGCTGCAAAGCCTGTTCTCAGAGCAAACCCCACAAGCACCAAGCCCCCGTTACCGTACGACTAATCTCAGCCCAGCAGCGGGGAAAGCAGCAGTCGTTTGCAGGAGAAACCCCGTGGTGGCTTTGCTTGGTCTCAGCAGAAGACAGGGGTCCTGCAGGAGGGCCCCCGCTGCCTGCCTCTTCCAAGGACGCGTCTCGGGGAAGGCAGAGCTCTTTCTGCTTGCTGTTGCAGAGCAGACTGTAGCCAAGCCCCCAGACTCACAAGACTGCTCCTTTCCCTTGCAAGACTTCCCCCGAGTGCTGGATAGTGTGGTCCACGCTGGGTTTCCCCTGCTTTTTAGCTCCCCTCACATACGACACCACCCCAGTCTTCCTAAAAGCCTCCAGCCTGGATTCCTCAACCACCTGGTTCAATGCTTAACCCCCTGGCTGGAAGAAATCTTTCCCCAGCATCTACTCCAGGTCTCCCTTGCTGCACGTGAAAGGGCAAGGAGCCATCTCCTTTAGCTGGGCAAGAGGAAGGGTGCATGATTTCAGGGTCTGGACCTTACAACTGACACCAACAAAGGGTGGCAAGAGAAACTGAGGCACAGCGATGGAGGAGCATTGGCCAAGATCTGACCACAGGGCAACAACAGAGCTGGGAATACAGCCCCCGGCCCCCCAAGCCCCAGGTTGATGTCCGTCACTGGGGCACACCGCCCACCAGTCTGGAAAGGGGGTCTCCTGGGGGAGACGCAGGAGGAGCCGGCTCTGTTGCAGGGACAGCTGAGCCCTTGGCCTGGGCCAAACATCAGCATTAACACCGCCCTCCACCAGACCTGAGCCCATCAGCTCTGATCACCCGCTTCCCCGTTAAGCACGAAGCCAAGTCGCATCCTTCCTTCCCGGGATGCTGCAGCTGTGGAGATGGGCTAAGGCTGCTCTCTGCCGACCCGAGAGCGCCACTGCGGCTAGCACACCACTTGCTCACCCTCTTTAAGACCTGTGCCACACGCTCCTTTCTCCCCAAATACACAGGCAAGTATAAATAGTCTCTAAGTAGAAAATCCAGCCTTTATCTGCCACGTTCTTGGGACATGGACTGCATTGTAGACCCAATCCACAGTGCCTTCTGCTTTCTGCTTATTCTCCTGCTTATTGCATTGCACATCCAAATATCATATCCCAAATACCTCTCAAACCTGCAGGCCCTGACTGGTCTCTTTGCTCATCTTTGCTTGAAGATTCATAACCACAAAAGGTCTGTGGGTGTGCATCTAGTGCGGGGGACGGGGACACCGTGCCTTGGAGAATGGAGCAGGCTGGGGCAGCAGGAGCAGAAGAGAAGCACCTGGGTAGAGAGCTTGCACCAGCGCAGCCGGCCGTATGGGGTAGTCCAGTTGCATCCTGGGCTCTCACACCTCCGAGTCGATCTGGAACAACACCTGGACAATGGAGGCCACGACGGACCCCCCTCCTCGTGCAGCGTCTGGCCTTAAACGTCCGCAGCAAGGCACTTCGTCTGCCCTAAGAGGGCACAGGGCTTGGGCGGGGAGCAGGGCTGCCCTGTGCTCCGGGAGGGACGAGCAGGGCAACAGGATCTGTTCCCGCAGTGAAAGTGAAGCACGGCCTCCCCGTGCGGACACAAGCGGGCTCCAGGTTCTGCTGATGAGATGCACTTAGAAGCAGACACACGCCAGGGCTGAAGCCCGGGTCTACTATACTGGGAGCACGAGGCTGGGCACTGGGGAGCAGGAGCAGGGCTGCACCCCGAAAATCACCCCCAGGAGCACTGGGGAACCGAGTCTCTTGCAGGTGCCCTTTGTGGACAGCAGCCCTCGTATAAGGGGGTGGGTGGGCGAGAGGGGCACCAGCCCAAGCCTTGTTTAGAGGGGGCACCAGAAAGGCCCTTGCAGCATCAGAACAAGCCCCTCCAAGGCGCCACGATTCCCAATTATGCCTCTGAGCTGCAAAGAGCAGCAGCCGGGCTCCGGGAGCAGCTTGAGCCCGAGGAGGGGGCAGCAGACAGGGGGGTGGGCACGGAGGCCGGGGCTGTGCAAAGCTGGCACTGTCGGGGCCCTGCCCCACCACACCGCATGCGCTGCCCTAATGCCAGCCCGACCTGCCAGGGGCAGCGACAGGGTTTTGATCTCCAAGAAGAGCCCAGAGCTGGGGCTTAGCGTCCACACCTGGCGCTAGCATGGCCAGAGTCCGGCCAGGATGCGTTGCAAGGGGGCATGAGCAGCAGAGGCTGAGCCGGGGAGAGGCGAGGTGGAAAACTGGCCTCCAGCACCTGCCTCGGGCACATCAATCTGCTCCGTGCTCTGGCTGGCAAAGGAGAGGGCATGGTCACGGGCAACCCTCAGCTTGCACCAGGCCCCACCGGAGGCAAAGCCAAACCCCTGTGGGGCAGCCGCCCTGCCCTGGGCCGTGAGGCTGCTCCCACGGCTGCTTTGCCGGGCGTCACTGGGGAGGACGGGAGTCGCTGCGTTGGCACGGGGCCTTCTCAGCCCCCTTCACCCAAGCATCCCAAAGCGCTCCATGTCCTCACTGACCAGCCAAGCAAAGCCCCACGCTTGCCCCCCAGGGTACGAGGGTGATATAGGAAACACTTTGTTAGTGCCCGAAATGCAACCAGAGCTGGGGTGGAGCAGAGTCGCCGTGTCCCAGCACCCGGCCGCGCAACCTAGTGGCTTAGGGCAGGAAAAGGAGGTTGGGATGATGCAGTTGGGGCTGGTCCTGCTCTGAGCAGGGGTTGGACTAGATGTGACCTCCCCAGGTCTGTGATTCCAGCATCCAGCAGAACACGCAGGGAATGCAATTAGCCCCTGGGGTTAAATCCATGAGAGCTAATTACCCCGGTTTTAAACCATGCCACTTTCTTGGGGATCCTGCTGGATGGCTGTACCCGTTTCCTCTTCCTGTACCAGGACCCGTGGTGCTAAAGGACTGCAACTTTAAACCAAGCTCATCCAAGTGGAAAGTTACTGGGATTTAGACCCCTTCTGCCAGTATATGAGCAGACATGAAGGAGCTGCATCAAGGTGATACCCCCAAGAGGTAAATCTCCTCCCCCCGCACACTCCCCGTTTAACAGCGTATGCTGTCCACAGCCCATAGCTCCTGTTTTACCTCCTTTCCCTGCCTTCGCTGGGGACCTGGGTCTGTGCTGAGTACAAACACCCACAGGATGGCAGCCTCTACCAGCATAACACCAGCATCCAGCCACACCTCTCCAGCAGCCTCATGTCAGCTCACCGCTACCCGCGAACGTGGCCTCTGCACTGGAGCCAAGGGATCGTCACTGTAATGAAGTCATTGACACCCAGGGAGGAGATTCCCCAGTGTTGCTCCATCACTCCCGTGCTTTGAACCCAGATGCAAGAAGTTTCCTGGGTGAAGCCTGGGCGTCCAGATCCCGGGGCCGGTCCCTCTCCCAGCACAGCTCTCCTGGACGGTCAGCAGCTCCGGGGAGGCAAAGTACAACAGACCTGCCAGCTGCCAAGTGCTCCAGGCCCAGCCCCGGGGCACGGGCAGGCATCCAAGGATGACACCGTGCCCACTTTTTACCTCCAGGCTGCACCTCTCAGCCAAAACCCGCCTTGCATGAAGGGTCCAGGAACTGCCCGTGACATTTTAATGTGCTCCAGCCAGCCAAGCTGGTGCATGGGGAGGTGCAGACGCCGAAGGGAGAACCTGCCCCATTGCAACCAGCAGCTCTTTCCAAACCAGTCTCCACCACCGCTGAGCACGATGTGCCCTGCCATTGCCCGGGGGGGGGGGGGGGGGGGGTTAATGAGACACGTCAGCAGCAAAGGAGCCGTGAGTGGTCGCAGTGCCAGAGTGTTTTTACTCTGGGGGCTGCAATGAGCAGGCAGGAGAGGTTGGCAGCTTGGCCGGTGCCCTGCAAGTGGCATCCTTGCTGAGCTCCCCCTTGCTCACCCGGGCCTGACTCCCAGGACACTTGGTGTCCGTGTCGAGTGCAGGGCACTAACAAGCAGCCCTTTCACTCCTCACAGCTGCACGCCAAGTGGGGCTGGGGCGGCAGCTAATTAGCTGTGTGAGGAGCCAGTGTTTGGGGACCGGCTTGGCAAAAATAGCAGGATGTGGCCAGGGCAGGCAAGCAGCTCGGACCACCCTCCTTGCCTCACAGACCCATAGAAAATGAGGGTGGGAAGGGAGCTCAGGAGGTCACATCCAGTCCAACCCCCTGCTCCAAGCAGGCCCAGCCCCAACTACATCACCCCAGCCAAGGCTTTGTCTAGCCGGGTCTTAAACACCTCCAAGGATGGAGAGGCCACCACCTCTCTGGGGAGCCTGGTCCAGCGCTTCGCCACCCTCCTAGTGAGAAAGTTTTTCGTAATATCCAACATCAACCTCCTTTGTTGCACCTTGAGCCCATTGCTCCTTGTTCTTCTGAGAACAGTCCTGCTCCATCCTCTCTGGATCCAGCTGGAAGCCCGGCTGGGGACAAGACGGGGGCACTAGGAGCCGGCCTCGTGGTGCTCAGACACAACAGGCGCCAGCAAGACCTCTGCTCCATGGAGCCGAGAGCCCAGCTGACATGACGAAGGGGTTGGGGACCAGAGAAAAGCAACAATTAGAAATAGAGATGGTGAAAAGTGCAACAGGAAGAGCCCAGGGTGGAGTCCTGGGTTTGCAGATTCTGCAAGCAGCGCGTTGTGTTAGCATTTCATGTAAAATTACAGCTGGGAGGGAAGGAAAATGCAAAGCCTGCATCCATCATCCCTGCCTGCCTGGCTTGTGTTCCAGCCCGTCCTTTCCCCCGTCTCCATGAACGGCAGGTGCCCCGCGGCCAGGCCACGCGTGTCTGTAAGGCCCGGTGCAATGAAGACTAGTCTTGGCTGGGGAGTCTGCACCGCAGTGGGATATAAAATAAAAGTTCCTGATGCCAATGCCGCTCGCAAGTCCTGCCGGGCTTGGGCCTGCTGCTTTTCCACCTTGCTGTCCAGCCTGGCTCTCGACCTCCACGGCCGTGTCAGGAAATCACTGCCATCCGCTGTAACTCGTGACCTTTCTGAGCGATAGCTCTCTTCAATTCTTAATGAGCTTCGATTTCAATTTACCCGTTCAGCATGCTTGTTCTCCTGACGCCTTCTCTTTCACTCTAATTGCTTTTTTTATTATAATTACACCAAATTGAGAAATGTGGCCCCGGTTCTAGCAGGATCTGGTGATGACGATGATTATAATGATTGTTACTTAATGAAGATTAAACCTGCAATGTTTAGGAGCTTGGCATTGCTTGAGCCTCCTCGTCACCAAGGCTGTGCTTATGTGCTCTGGGGACTTGGGCACCGCAAGTTTGGGGCCTTTGGGCAGGGCTGGATTTTGCTTTGGGATTTTTATTTTATCAGCTAAGCTTGCAACGGAAGCAGCTTTGTTCGGTACCGGACCCTGGCCTGTGAGGGGCTGAAGATTGAATGGGAACAGCCAGGGGAAACATGCTTCATAGCACAATACTCACGTTGCAGGGTCCCCCGAGTGCTCAAACTAGGGTGGGATCACGCAATCGCTTCTGAGACATGATGCTTTGAAGGGAAGGCAGCTTTTCAGAACAGGGTGAAAGTCCTGAAGGGATCCAGCCATCCGCATGACTTACAAGGAGCCAAGATTTCCTTGCTAGCCGCAGCAAATGGCATGGAAACGCGGAGGCGCAAATCTATCCATTGATCTTCTCTAGTCCTGGGCGCACAAACCACTCCGCAGCACATCACACCCCGCCGTCAGCGGCAGGTGAGACGATCGTGTCAAAACTGGGAAACGACCTTCGCTTCTCAGAGCCGTGCAGCAAGGACGGTTCCCGACCTGATGGTATTAAGATGAACTGGTGCATACACTCCTCTCCCCTGAAAGATGTCACTGGCAAAGTATTATACCTGCTCTTCGCCTTTTGATTAAAGTCAATTCTTAGGCTCTCCTCCTGTATTTCCAGTGACCGTGCGCTGTCACGTTCCTGAATTGTTTCAGCTTTAAAGCTTAATTTTATGCAAATTTCCCCTTGCAGAAATGAAAATGACTCACGGTTGCATCAACCGGTGATTTATCAGCGGGGTCCTCCAGTCTCGTTAAAGAGCACCGTTCGTCTCCCAGGAGATTAGCCGTGGGGTGTTGCTCTTCTTCCCTCCCGCTGCAGCCGAGAGGGGGACGGAGACACCGCTTGTGCGCTCCAAATCCTGGGCCGTGGATTTTGGATGCAGAGCAGAGCGGGAGCACGAAGCAGGCAGAGTTGAAACACCTGGCCCAGAGCATGGACAGGGCACCGGGATGGACAGCCCCGCGTCCTAGACTGTATCCTTAGGCAAGGAACCGCACGGCCATGCCTCACCGCCTCCACTTCCTCCCCCGAGGACTGAACGGAGACCTGGACAGTCCTGTCGCACAAGGTGTTTGTATTTCCTGATCCAGAGTCTGAAATGCAGCCAAAACGCAGAGGGCCCGAAGGAAAGCGCCCCGTCTCCGCTGCAAACAGCAGACAGGCACCCACAACCGCAGAATCCAGTGAGCACCTGGACGTCAACCCACGGTCAGATCCCCCATCCTGTCTGATCTCACCCTAAACACCGCAGCATCCGAGGACCAGATTTTTAAAGTCAGTTATGCATTCAGATCCAACTGACTTCAATATGGACCGGGTGCCTACACTCCTTGGAAAATCTGGCTCCCAGTGTCTTGCAAAGTAATCCCTGTAAGTGTAGCCACTATCGGGAAATTTGGCACCTGAATCTAAGTGCATGAAGAATAAGAAGACAAGGTTCTTTGGGTGAATCTGATATCTTTTATTAGGCCAATTTAAATAGCTGGAAAACAATTATTAAGCAATAATTGTTTTCCAATTACTTAAGTTGGTCTAATAAAAGATATCAGATTCACCCGAGGAACCTTGTCTGCCGATGTCCTTAGACCAACATGGCTACAACCTGCACCCCTGGAGAATAAGAATAAACTCCGCAAGGAGTTTCCACCTCTCTCCACCGCAGCGTGAGAAGTGACTCGCCCTTCGGTCAACCCCGAAGCGCAAGGAGAATTGCAAGGGATCCACGTAGCCAACATGGCATTCACAGCAGGGCAGCTGTGGCATCAACATAAGGACTTAAAAAACTGCCATGGCAGGGAGGATTCAAGGCTGATGAACGACTGGAGAAAATACAAAAATCTAGCAAGGAGTTTTTCAGTCCTATTTGTCATTGAACACAGGGAGAGAAAACTCATCACTCTAACACGCTGACATGTGCTCTGCAGCAACAGTAAATTAGGGCAGGCGTCCCAGGCACCTCAATTAATCTCTGAGAGAAGAGGAACGGCGATGGGAGCTCCCCACAGTTCATTAAGACACTGCAGCAGGAAACAAGCCCAGCACCAGGGAAGTGCCCCATCCATCGCGAGGCACTGCCGGGTGACTCCTGGGACACGATTCAGGAAACGACTTCCTCACGCTGGTTGACACAAACACCAGAGACTGGCTTAAGGAGCGGGATTGTGGTTTATCCATCTTGGACAGAGCTCTGTTGCCCTTCTTCTGTCTAATGGGGCTTTTTGGTCTGTGTTTTGCTTTGTTGTTTTTCAACCCAATGGAAACTTTTGCTCAAAGAAAGGCAAGGGGAAGGAAAAATGCCTGAACTCGAGGCCTAAGATGTGATTCTGGACTGCTGTAGGCTGTTAGCTTTTTGAGAGCAGGAACAGGCGCCTGGGAAAGAAATCCAGGCTTCAGCACCGAAACAGCCAGTGAAGCAAGTGCAGGAGAAAAGGCCGTTCTCCCGGGAGGACGAGCAGAGTACGGCCAGACTCTTGGCTGTTGCATTCTTGTGTGCGAACAACTCGCATCCAGTTACTGATACAAATCAGATTTCTAATTTCTTCTCCTCGTGTCCCACGAGAGCAGGGCTAGGAACTGAATTAAATCTCGTTAACTTCATCTCGCACATTAATCAAAGCGCTTTTGACAAGCTAAATGAGGGCCTGGTTTCCATAGGAAGCATTGTGTCGGCAGCGGCTCCACGGCGCTGTTTGTCTGAGCCCATCCGGAGCGATGAGATGTAGGAGAATGGAGTTAACTTCACCCGCAGGAAAGCGGATGGGAGAGCTGTGCGTGATGGGGCTGCTTTCCCCGTCGTCCATCATATTCAGATCAGACTCTGACAGATCCAACTGCAGCGCTCGCTCCTGGGAGACGCTAACTTGCGACTCAGGACGCCACTCAAAGC